ATATATATATATATATATATTTTTTTTTTTAAACAGATGGCAGAAACCTGGCCCAAATATAAGATAGATTCTCATATCTTTCTTTGTTTCAATTTTGTAGACTTTTACTGTACTGCTTATTTGCCTATTCAAATGATGGTGAAATTGAGAAATATACAAACAAGACCTGAATAAGAACTAAATGGCCTAAAATACCCCCAAAAAAAAGCATGATTTTTTTTTTTTTTTTTTACTACTTTAGGGTAAATTAGTATTATATCATGTCATTAAACAAAAAGTCACACTTGTAAATGTGTGCAAATGTGTGAAATCTTAATAACATCAAAAAGTTGCAGAAGCTTGGTGCAAGTTATTTATTTATTTATTTTTTAATCGTCTTTTCAAACTGGGGGTTTCAGTTATGAGTTACTATACGTGTTCTTAGTATATTGAACTTCCAAAAAAATTCAATTTGTCATATGACTCCTTTAACGTTTATGAATGTTAGCACTCAAGTGTTTAGCCTCGGTCTGGGCTTTCACTGATACAAGTTAGTGCTTTCATAAAGGCAGACTCAGATCACCCCAATTATTCTTAGCAAGAGCCCTAAGACAGGCACTGGCAAAAATGATCAGCAACTTCACATACGACTGATCTCTCTACTAGCCCACTGTAATTGCTCTCTCCTCCTCTTGGGAATAGCAATCACACACACCATTTTCCCCCTTCTGCTTATTATAACAGTAAATGGAGCCTCTGAAAAAGTCTGCAGAAATATGCCAAAGCCAAGTACACAGGTTATAAATGAGCTCAAGGAAGGGTGCTTAAAAAATAGCCCAACATAACTTTTTTCAGGAGGGGGAAACATTTAATTAAAAGTAGACTGTTTGTGAGGAGTGTCATCTAGAAGCATCTTAGAAGATGGAACAATCCCCAGGCACCCATGGGATGCAATTATGAACGGCACCATAACAAATCTAAGAAGTGAATTAAAGTCATACTTTCAGGCAAGTTCTAACACTGGAAGAGTCATTAACTTTTCCTTTATCATCAGATGAAAGGTCAAGAGCTGCATTATTCCACCATTTACTAATACTTCACTAATAAATATATGGGGGTAAAATTGCTGCATTATTCCAAATAAATAGATTATGGTCCTCAAATAAATGTAAAGCGATTAACAAAAACAAAACATGTTCACAAAATAAATAGAATGAGAATACCACAAATACATCTTAAGAGTTTCATAAACATGAATTAAATTCACAAATAAAAAAATGAGACTTGCAAATAAAAAATATTTTTATTCTACAAACACAACTTTGCCTGGCATTTATTTGTGAATCATGTCCTGTGCATTTGTAGATCGCTGCGTGCATTTGTGGATTTTGAGACATTTCTTGCGTCAAGGCGAATGAGAATACCACAAATACATCTTAAGAGTTTCATAAACATGAATTAAATTCACAAATAAAAAAATGAGACTTGCAAATAAAAAATATTTTTATTCTACAAACACAACTTTGCCTGGCATTTATTTGTGAATCATGTCCTGTGCATTTGTAGATCGCTGCGTGCATTTGTGCGTGCACACCATTCCACAAATGTATTTTCTCCACCTACCGTCTACTCAAGCAAATCAGATAACAGCCACACTTCGCTGACCAATCGTAGCACGTTCTCGCTATAACCAATAACGTTTTGCTTTACAATCAGGTTTTAAAAAGATTGTTGGAGAGTACGGTTTCTTTATATTTCCATCAGGATCAGTGAATGAGGATAAACTCAGGATTATACACAATTTATGATCATTCACAATAGGGATGGGCGATATGGGCTTAAAAATATATCACGATATTTCTGCTATTTATTACGATAACAATATCAATGACGATAATTCTGGGAATCCTGTTTCTTTAGAGAAAAGTATTATCTTTCCTATTTTTACCCAAAATAGGGTGAACATTATTGAGTACACACGTAATGTAAAGACTGTTTAATTCATACTGGAACCCGGAGGGCACTCTTGCACAGAAACTCCACATATCCATAGCAGGAGTAATACTACTGATGATGCTCCAGGAAGGTATCCAGTTATTGCTGAATAAAACTCACAACGGAGATAGAGACATTTTAACTGATGAAACTAGAGGAAAGTGTTACAAAGTATTTGTGAAATCTAGCTAACAAAATATATATTGTGTGTTGGAGTGGTCCAGACGCTACAACTGTTTAATTCATACTGGAACCCGGAGGGCACTCTTGCACAGAAACTCCACATATCCATAGCAGGAGTAATACTACTGATGATGCTCCAGGAAGGTATCCAGTTATCGCTGAATAAAACTCACAACGGAGATAGAGACATTTTAACTGATGAAACTAGAGGAACATAAACATACGATTGCACAAAATATATGGTTTACAGCCCTAACCAAACCAGTTACAGCTCGAGCTCCTCATTTAGCGATATAGGCTACTTCTCCTCAATTTCATGTCCGCCTTCCGCGATGTCACTCCGCACTGTCGCACACAGAAATATGTCAACAACTAGACTTTATCGTTATTATCGCGGGAAGACTAATTCTTATCGTGGGGAGAATTTTTACCGGTATATCGCAAACGATAAGATATCGCCCATCCCTAATTCACAGATCCCAAACAAATAGAAATCTACTGCGACGCTGTCTACTCTGGACGAGGTGCCACACGATGAAGGACAAATGTTTCGCACATTTCCTTTAATGCGTCCAGTTGCAGTTACAGCTGTTGGAGTGCAGCACGACAGCGAGCAGAGACACGGCGTAAGACATGGTTTATTTAGCCTTTTAAAACACAATCGCGGTAACAAATATAGGGCAAAATAACACGTATAATATCAATTATGGGCCAAAATGACCATCACCATCTGGGTACCTGTCTCAGCATCACTGCAGCATGTAATACTGGAGTTTTGCAAGTGGACAATGTAAATAAAAACCTACTTTGGATGCTGTTAAATAACTTTTACAAACAAAACTAGTAAGTCTGATTCATATGAAATATTTTTTGTGTGATCAAGTGTTTTAACCAATAAATATCTTGTCTTACATTTATATCCATTTATTTTCAACACACCTGCACCACATTTAAAAAAGAACCCACTTATATTTTTGGCAATAACGTTGTAATACTTTTAATTAATGTTTGAAAATATTAATTATAATGCTATATACATCGTTAGATCCACTTAGCTGCTCATATCCATATCCATATCCATCTCATCCAAACTGCTTCACTGAAAAACTGGAAAACGCTGTTATGTTGGCTGTGTGACGGCAATTTAACCTATTACACAAACTCGCATGTTTATCATGAGGTTGAATCCAGTAATTTATTAGTCAGTTACTTATTGACGCTTTTCTTTCCATCTTGAATGATGCTTCCATGACGAGTTTGTATCCAGTACAGCATTGTTCCCATAGCCGTGATTTAAAGTGCTGTTTCTCTGGCATTTTCAAAGGCATGTAAAATATACTGTGGCTTGGCTTGATACACAGTCTAATGATCTAACGAAATCCAATTTCAAACATCTTTTACTGTATCAATTTTTATGTTTGAGCAAATATTTCCTATTTGAGTCAATGCATATTATGAATGAAGTTATTTCAGGAAGAGACCGCCCTAATTGTAAAGCAAAACGTGATTGGTTATAGCGAGAACATGCTATGATTGGTCAGCGAAGTGTGGCTGTTATCTGATTGGCTCGAGTAGATGGTGGGTGGAGTCCATACATTTGTGGATTGTCAGCGTGTTTTCTTAAGTCCACAGTCAACGCAGCCATCTACCAGGAAATTTTAGAGCACGTCATGCTTCCTTCTGCCGACAAGCTTTATGGAGATGCTGATTTCATTTTCCAGCAGGACTTGGCACCTGCCCACACTGCCAAAGGTACCAAAAGCTGGTTCAATGACCATGGTGTTACTGTGCTTGATTGGCCAGCAAACTCGCCTGACCTGAACCCCATAGAGAATCTATGGGGTATTGTCAAGAGGAAGATGAGAGACACCAGACCCAACAATGCAGATGACCTGAAGGCCGCTATCAAAGCAACCTGGGCTTCCATTACACCTGAGCAGTGCCACAGGCTGATTGCCTCCATGCCACGCCGCACTGATGCAGTAATTCATGCAAAAGGAGCCCCTACCAAGTATTGAGTACATGTACAGTAAATGAACATACTTTCCAGAAGGCCAACAATTCACTAAAAATGTATTTTTTATTGGTCTTATGAAGTATTCTAATTTGT